GATAATCAAAAAATAAGCAAAACAAAAATAAGCAAAACAAAATCCCACTTAAATGAGTAAATGAACAAGATTTGACAGGTCATCTGCAAGCCAAAAGAGCAGGAAACTACAAAGAAATGTGAAGAAAAACAGCCAAAAGAGAAATATAAAATTACAGAAAAAAGATTAAGTGAGAAGTCCACAGAAGCCAAAGGATTATGCAATCAGCAAGGAGAGCAGCTCAGTGCCACTTACTGTAATTAACTGCTGTGTGTGCTTAGCAGGACTGTGACATTCCAAAATGACCCAATTTTTCTCCCTAAACAGGAAATCACTGTGTGTGTGTACGCACATGTGTACCATCTTGTCATGCTGCCTCTCTGTATTTTTCCAAATCATTCTGAGAAATCTGGATTTTCATTCTATATCATAATGAAGCAAGGGAAAGATAAACACTTGAGCACCAAGATGTAAAAAACTGCAGAATATAAGGAAAAGCATCTTGAAGAGTCTGTTACTCTGAAAATTGTGAAAGGGGCATCAGCTACAGCGAAAGTAAAGATTTCCTATCAATCTATTGGGTTACTGCAGAGTATAACCCAAAAGTATAAATGGAATCACAGGACAGTGGCTAGATCAAACTTTGATTTAAGCCATTTATGTGGATCAGTAAATTAAAGCTTAGAAAAGCTAACATCCCCATTCCTCTTATTTAGTCATTACTTCTCAAACTCATTGAAGAACTACTTTGCAAAAAAAAAAAAAAGGAAGGCACACAGCTACATATAGAAATTATTCAATTTAGATATTAAATTGAATATTAAATTTAGCAGAGAAAACAATTCACTGAATCTCACAAGTATCTCTTTCTTAATGTTGAACATAATAGTAAATAAAATAGGACCCTGAAGATTCATTAGTATAGACCCATACTATATCCAATCTTTGTTTAAAAATGACTTTGGCATTAAATGAATATTCTTCCAGTTGTGGATAGAACATAAGCAATCCTGGAACATAAGTCTCTATAATCACTGCAATCCATCCCTCACTTTAGAGTTTCTTGGGCACCTCTTTCCTAATATACAATTACTAAGAAATTACACTTTCACAGTGCTTTTGCTTTGATTTTCACTGTGCCTGATGGTTCCTGTAACAACAGATTGCTGATACAGTATTTCTGAAAAGTATCCTACCTTAATTCCTGAATATTTTTGCTCATTGTAACAGCACCTGCTAAGAACAGCAATGGTTAGCACTCTAACATTTAAATATTTAACTTCCTGCCCTAAAAAATGGCATTTTGACCCCCTTAGGTCCATACTACATAAATAAATCAGAAAGACATCTGTAACTATTTGCCTTTATGTAATTTTATCAGTTATTTACTCTGGACTTTTGATGAACACAACTACATGTTTTCCTAAATATTTGTTAGCAGCTCCTGTAAGTTTTTCAAGAACAATTAAGTTAAAAAAGGTACACTAGCATTCTTTTGAAATTAATTTTCAAGTACACTACTAAAAAAAGGCATTAGTTGGATTTTTGTGTGTTTGTCTTGACCTCACTTAAAAATTTTGACTATCCAGCGTGGCTCAGGTAAAACCATACAGATGTTGTGCTCACAAGAACATTTTTAGGGAGCAAGACACAGAAAAAAATAGAAAACAGACTGAGACGAGCCTCATACCGGCTTACCTAGACTCCTATCCTTTAAGCATTAGAGCTAAATACCAAAAGTGGCTAAAACAATCAGTTTAGTCGAACCAAGAGGTAAAAATCTCCTAACTGCAGTTTCAGCGGGGTTCCTTTTGCCTTCTGAAAGGTGAGGAGGGTTCCCTCACCACCCATTACCTCAGTGAGGGAACTGGGCGGCTCGACGGGGAAAATGGGCGGGAAACGGGGCCGCTTGCGGGGGGGAAGCGGCGCGGCCCCTGTGGCGACTGCGCCATCTTGAGTCGCGGTTTCAGGTGCGAGCGCTACCGCCTTCGATGGCTTCTGTTAAATTGTTTAAATGGTTTAAACTAACCGCCAGCAGCCCGTGCCACCTTGCGGCTCTCGGGGAGTACTGGCCCGAAAAGAAACGCCCCGACATCTTCAGGGAGAACTCTAAAGTTGCATGCTTGTATATGCATATCTGTTTAAATAACCGCAGGTAAGCAGCAACACGCAAAACTTCTCATCCAGGGAAGGTAGTGTTCTCTTTTTTGCCGTTAAAGTAAAGCTGTACAATTGCTACTCAAATTGAGCCTGAGGAGGCCAGAGGAGGAAAACTGGTATAATAGAGATTGCTTCAGATTGAGGGAGAAAATGTGAGAATTAACCAGTTGGAAACAGAGCACCAGTCTTTACTTTTTTTTTTTTTTTTATACCAGAATTGTAGTTGGTGTGCCTGTAGTAAAGCACAGATGCAGGATGCAGAAATAGCTTGAGAGAAAAAGGGCTTTCTACAGTACCAATTGGGGGAGGGGAAGGCAGCACATGAAAGATTTTCTTATTTTGTTAAAAATGAAAAGGGGTGAAGGAAAGTTTATGGCTAGCTTGCTGACAAAGAAGGCATGTGCTGTTATGTCCTCCTTATGCTATGCTAGGCTTTAATGCTTTGTCTCGGGTATTAATGAAGAATTAAAGAGTCTTTTGAGATGAGGGCTTGCACCTACCTTTGA